TTGCGCATCATCATAGGATCCGAGGTATTATCGACACGACCCGTAGCATCACGACAGTGATCTTGAAGCACGTTGAGCTACGTCGGAAGAAGCCTCGTCCGGACACAATAAATAAGAGGTGGCCATAGATGCTCCGATGAGGAAGAAGAAAAAGGAAGACTCGCAGGATCGTCTTGTTGAGGGTTGAGGATGGTAGATCTCTTTTTTACTTTCTTTTCATCATGTCCAACACGGTGCACTACCCTCGAATTATCCCCGCACTATACACATAAACATGTGCATATCTAGATTCATGCACATAGTTTGCAACCACAAACACACACGCATAACATAGACAGTGATCAATGATTCGTGTACATGACACACCATATACATACACATATATGTAGACGGATACGTGTTACATTCATGGGCTGGATTCCAACCTCGAGATATACCAGGCTTATCTAACATAGCATCCAAACCACATGATACCATGTAGTCTACTACAACCACAATCGGCTCCGAGGAACTTGTACTATACTGATGCGCAGATCCAGATGCAGTGCTGGCAATTGTCAATAACCACCCATTGTGCCATAACAAGGATATGAAAATGACATGAGTAGTCTACAGAGTACGCTCGTAGTTAGTCCAATGTTTTGCCAAAATGGATGAAACACAGTTGGCGTGCATAGAATCGGGAGTGCATAAACGTTCACAGAGCAATGGCAACATGCGCCAAACTGAAGTCAACCAACATCCGCCAAAGAGAGGCTGCCTGCTGTTTTTCGGTGGTGAACAGGAACATTTCAGCAACATACGAGCTGCTGCCTTCCAAAGCACACCGCTCGCTATCAGAAAGTGTGTGTCTGCTGTCATCTAAGCATTGATTCAGGCGAGCAAAATCGAGTTTCAATTGATGCGCATCAATGATGAGCACCCCATGCTTGCGCAGATTGTTGCGTGGTTGCGCATCATAGGCAGTGGTGAGCACAAGCTCCCGCGTGTTGTGGCGGCGTTGCACATACTCGATGAAGTGACGCATCACCGTTCTTGCAGGGGGTGGCTGTGATGCGTTATCAGCCAGTGCCGCTAATTGCTCTTGCAAAAGCAAATGTTGTTGTTGTAGCGCATCGTACTGACTTTGTTGCTCGCTGCATCTTTTCTGGTGATCTTCATAGTTCTGTTGTGCAGAACTTTCCATTTGTGTGCGGCAATACTGCTGCTGTGCTTCATTGTATTGAAGGTGCAAAACACTGCGCTTGCACAAGAACTCGAACACCGTAGCGTGCGGCGGCGGATTGCTTTGCTGCCAGGTTTTGGTGCACGCACGCACGATACCACCGCAAAAATCGGCAACGTGGCGCACCCCATAGACACCATTGGGATTGCTGCCATAAGGATACACCAAGCGCTTGCTCTGCTTAAGGCGTCTGATGAGGATATATTCATCATGCGCCAGATTGACGTGAAGGACAATCTCTGACCAGTCCCCCAATGCCAGTTTATCAGCAACCGACCCTGCCTGCTGATATTGCAGCCGGCTGTGCTTGTAATTGGCTGCCCACATGAGCGCCAATGCACCAGGTACGCCGGTGGCAAGCCCCCATGCAAGGCTCAGGACAAATAAAAGCGAAGACATGCCAAGGCTTGCCATGCCGAGCATGTGTACGCTGCTTTGCAACATCAGTTGATGGAGCTTGCCTTGGTGCAAATGTTGCACATGCGCATCTCCGGGTAGCACGCCTGCCTCGCTGGCTTTTCGCAACATTATGTGTGCCTGCAACACCCGCACAAAGTCATAGATTGCCAGCCTTACTGCTGTTAATGTACATAGACTTGCGCCTATCCAAATAATTGGAAGCAGGATAGGAGTGATCATGGACGTTGCGAAACTTGTAAGAAAGCCTCCCCCATACAAGAAACCACCCACCCCAAGGCCAATCCCATAGGAGTTGCGTTTGATGTAGGCCGCTTTGATATTGCGATCAATAATCGCACGCTGTGCTTGTAAATTTTGATTTAAGCTGTACTTGGCTGCTGAGGATAAATCCAAGCTGGGAATTTGCCGCTGGTTGCACTGCAGCAATTGCATATTCTCATAATTGATGCGCAGGTTGGCTTGACCAGAAAAAAATTCAGCTACTGCCGATGCAGTGCCCGTGGCCAGATCAACTGCTGTGGCAGCCAGCGTAATAACAAGATGTGCCATCATTTGGGCGGTTGTTGGCTGCACGAGACGTACGGGAACGCCCTCAGACAACGAGACCGACTCGTCCGCCATTCTCATCATCTCTCGTTCCAGCGCCCCTGAGATGCCTCTCTGCTTGTGCCTCTTCCTCCTAATGAGCGTCCTTTTACTACCCCTCTTGTCTAAGTTTGTTCAGGGACTGCCCCATTTTTACGGAGAACCTTACTTTCTAATTTTATTTTTCGGACGACCGAAGTCCGAACCAGATTTGCGACCGCGATTGGTTATTATCCTTTGCGTCTTGCTGCCTGTTGCAAAACCTTGTCAAGTTTAGGGTTCGCTGCTGCTTGTTGCCGTATGTAGTCAGTGTCAGGGTTATCTGCCTGTTGCTATATGTGGTCAGCTTTAGGGTTATGTGCTGCGTGTTGCTATATGTAACCCTAATGAGGCTTAAAAGTGGGATACTGTGCACCCTGACACAATCTCTTATGGGGAAGCCAAAAGGTACGAAGGGGTCGAGAGAGGGTCATAAGGAGTCACATTGTGTCCACGGGATGAGATATTTTGGAAGGGCTCACGTGCGGGTGGTGCCTGTGGCATTTGGAATGCCACAATCGTATGACGTTCCATTAAAATATCTTACGAAGTTACGAATCTCGACCTGTGATCTGCCACCCACGGTTCGCGCAACACGCGTCACATACTCAACTGACTTGTCGCTGGAGTAACTTCGAATCTCGACATGCGATCTACGTATCTCTTCGTGTATTCGTCACGCTCATTTACAGCCGTCCTTCAGTTTTGGATCACTGAAGAAATCAGGTTCGATTGAGGCGGATGGTTTGGGTCAGATATTCTGATCGTTCTCTCAGCACAATGGAAGCATGGTGGCGCCTGAGCCTTGCAGGCTTCTTCTCGTCTATGGTAATCGGTGTGAATTCCGTAAGGCCAGGCTTGAGGCGTGGTTCCTGACCTGAAAGGACCTTGACAGGCTGTTTCAGGGCCCTGACTGCAACAGAAAGGTTGTGCTCTTGAAGCTGAGGTTGTGGGAGGAGGTGGTGCCGTTGACGCTGAGCCCCGACTACCAGCACGGTGGTAACAGGTCTATTTATCGTATTGTTGTGAAAGAGGACTATGGACAAAGGGCTGACGCAGACTCGGTTAATTGGCATTCTGGGTTGCCAGAACAGGAATGTGATGACTTCCTCCTAAAGATAATGGTAGGCCTTTTTTCAAATTCAGAGGACGGCAATCCAGCGTACTACCTCACGTTGTGGCTGGCCTTCCCCTTTCCCGCTTGCAGCGCGAGGGGACTCTGTTCAAGGATTTGAAGGAACTTAGTGGCAGGAGAGAGCGAGGGTTTTTGTAAGCCATTGCCTGACCTGCAAAAAGAAGGGCGCAGTTTTACAGTGCTCTGAGTGCAAGGTTGCCTGGTTTTGTGGGAGAGAATGCGAGTGGGTTGGATTTGACAGGCACGCAAGGGCGTGCTCTGCTTACGTCAGCTTCTTGAGATTAGAATATGAGGCCTCCTAGCTCAGTGTAAATTATGATTTGAAAGCGATCTAGTAGCTTGACCATCTCGTCGATGCGAGCACCTGTGACCTGTAATATTACGTAGTGTATGGATCCAATTCCTTTCAAAATAGCAAGTCTTTCCAAAACTCTGGTGATGCTCGCTTGGCTTCCTCCCTGGGATATGGACCAATTCACGCGTCGCACGTCAAACCATATGTATGCCACTTTTTCAGTTTTGTCACTGGTGAAACATTTGCGACATATGTTTATTTGTGTGTGGAACAAGTGTCGTGAATGCAAGGATGCCGGATGTAATTTAAACGAATGTTCAGACCTGGGCCGCTACAATGATGACTATTGGAGGCTAGGAATGAGCTTAGCTCGATACCATATATGTACACCTATGCATGGTGGGCATCAGGATGGGTGTTAGGTTTATTGGCTCCGAGGACTACCTTACAGTGCGACGCTCGTATTCAACTGGGGATGCTGCCATGAATATCTACCTATGCTTTTGCGAGCCGTTTGCATCCTACAAGCCCGGCCACTCGGTCTCCACGCCGCTCCAGCTTCATTTGGTCTACAGGGGGCGAGGCAAGGGGGTGATCCATAGAGGTCAAATCAATATCGATTCATCACCAAAGGTGGATGCTGCAGACATCAAGAACCGCTCACGAATCCGTGAGATGGATAAGACAAGCCGGAACAAGCCGGAAATTCCCACCCATGCTTGGTTGGGAACCTGACAACCTAAAACCTGTTGGAAAATTCTTTGACCTCTATAAATCCTTCATTTGAACCTTCTGAACGTACCTCTTTAAGTGTCTCTCCTGTTTTTGGTTTTAGGATAGAAAGTTAACCTCTTTAGGTGTCTCTCCTCTAGAACTTGAGCATGTAAAAACGATGAGTTGGCATGAATGGTAGGTACATCGAAGGAAAGAGGAGAGACTCTGATGCGTTGGTTCTCAGGCACCGGGTGAAGTAACGACGTGAGCCCCTTCAGCCGCCCGACCGACTCCGGCAGGCTCTCGAGTGCCACCCATTGACTAAGTTTAATGATCACAAGCCAACGGGGGTTATTCATAATGATTGGCTGCAGCTCTACCAAAGAGTGATACAATTGTACAACTGCGATAATAGTCGTTCTTGAATTGAAAACCAATCTTTCATAGTAAGTATGTAACAATTTTGCTGCCACGCTCTACGAGAGTGGAAAATATGTCATCCCTTCTCAGAAGGTCTTCTGAATGTTGCTAAGCTGCGTGACCGTCTACTTCTGGAGAACCTCGTGCATAAGGATGAGGTTGAACACATGACTTTCAAAGATACATACACCCGTGATGGGCGGATTGTGGACGAGCTTCCAGACGACGTCGAGATAGTGTCTGTGGAACAGGAGCTGAAGCGGGTATTCATTTGGCAACCCAGTAAAAGACATTCTGGTGGTGAGCGAGATGCTCCGGTGCAAAAACGGTGAGGCGCCAAAACGTCGTGCCCGTCCCGGACACCAAATCCCCCATGCGTAAATCCATCATTTATCAAAATGAAGTATTCCCAAATGGGAAAGTGGATTTACGCCTTCTCGCTTGACAAACGAGAGACCGCGAAGATGCAACAAGAGATGATTGCCACGGTTGGCTGGTACGACCCGAGAGGGTTCGTGGTCTGCCGCTTGAAGGGTTTGATTTGGATGGACGGCGGGGCTTTTCTCCCGAATAGAGACCCCGTGGATACAGACTGGCTGACGCCGTTTTAGGAAGCCACTGGCTTGACGCTCTCATACGAGCCGTTCACTCTGCCCCCTGCTGAAGTACGCGAATGTCTTTGACCATGCTCAAAAAGTTGCAGAACGGGATTGGAAAAAGGAGGAGGTGCAGTCTTGGCTCGAGATATGCTGCAAATATGGTGCAGAGATAGACTACTCCCCTTGAAGAAAGGTACTCGCACACACGCTTAGGGCCAACGGAGCACCGAATGCCCTTCCATTCCGGAATGGCAGACTTGGATCGATCCGACATGGAGCGCCCTGACGCTGAAGTGGGCGAGTGTGCGATCACAAACGTGGCACCCCCGCTCTTGCTGGAGCTTCTGCTCCACCACTCGGACATCAGAGTGCCCGCCCTGACCGCGCTAGCATGCACCGCAACCGACTTCAGCGCGGCGGTGAACGAGCTTTGGCCTTCGATGATGGCAAAATTTTCGGAGAGCTGTCAGAATGAACCGACTACTCCCCTGACCGCGAGACAGATTCCGGTCGAAGCCTTTCGTAAAACTCCCCACCCGGCCAGCGCTTGCAGGGTTCGGGCGTTGACTAGACCGAGAGGCGAAGGCTTGAACTTGAGCTTCGAATTCGAGGAAGAAGGCTCAGAATGGACGCGCCAGGACGCTCTGATGACGGTGTATACTGCTCGCTACACGTATCGTCTCAGCACGGCAGACATTCGTCAACTCCAACCATACACAGGCATGTACAATGACAAGTACTACAGATTCGAAGACGTTCTGGGGGCGGGCATGCTCCGATTCGGGCGACGGCCTTATCTGGAGCGCCTCCTCCGAAGACCGATCCGGGAGCATCCGCAGATCGAGAAGAGGAGCACCGGCTGGAATCATGTGATGCGGTTGCACCAGAGGGTGGCCCCGGAAGTCATGCTCGACACGAGAACACTTCAAGCATATGCCGAGGAGTACATGAAGTCGGGCGTCGGGATCAATGTAATCAGGAGCCGTCTGTGGTCGCACAGATTCTTCTTGCAGCAGGTGTCTCAGCTGGTGCCCCATATGAACGTGGCCGAGCAGTCACGAGTTAAGCATCTCCAGAAAGCTTACGTCTTGACGAATGACTATGAGCTGGTCCGAGAAGCTACCAGGATAATGATAGCAATAACAGGACTTCACTGAGGGCTGATGATCCTTGGGACGCGGCTACAACAATCAATTCGTTCTGATGTCAACGATATCACCATGGGTAACGGCGCCCACGAACTTTGGCGCGGTCAGTGGAGCTCGGGCACGCGGGCACGTTAGCTTAGGAAGTACCGCATTCAAACAGCTCAACGCTATGAGGCACTCGTGTTCCTTTTCACAGAAGGGAAGGATTTCTTCGGACTTGGCATGGTTGCTTGACCTTCCATCAAGTGTCCGCATCAGTCGGCCGCAACTGACTCGAATAATCGGAAATTGGCTCCGGGCAAACGATTTGATAGAGAATCGTGTTCTAATATACGTAACCTACGACATGAGTTGCGTATTTGGAGCCGAAAATGGAAGTTTCATTTCTCACTTTGCACTACAATCGTTTCTACGATCACATTGGTACAAGACTGCATAAGGCGGAGCCATCGGCTGCTTCCTTGGAACCACTACCTACCGGCAGCGGATTCTATACCGAATCACGTGAAGCAATAGTTATGTAAGCACCCCTTAAGGACAAAGGTCGGGCCAGATGCCCCTTCATTCTAACATGGAGCCTGTCAGCAACCGCTCGAAAGAATGCGCAATCGAAACTCTGGCAGCCTCCCACCTTTTGGAGCTGCTTGTCCATCATTCAGACATCCAAGTACCGTCTCTGACCGCCTTGGCATGCACAGCAAAAGCCTACAACGAAGCGGTGGACCAGTTGTGGCCGTACCTCATGACCAAGTACGAGGCCGAGTGTGGGAGGGGCCCGGCCGCGGCACTGACGCCCAGGCATACGCCAGAAGAGGATGTTGAGAAGAATCTTGAGGATGGCTGTGAAGTTTTCGCCGAACGTATTCCGGGCGGCAAAGGCTTCAGACTGAAGTTCGAATTTGAGGAAGAAGGGAGCGACTGGACCCGGCAGGAAGCTCTAATGCCTTTAAAGACCGGAGCTCGCAAGGTATACCTGCTCACTGCTCCAGATCTCCGCCTCCTACAACCGTTCATAGTTCCAGGTGCGAGACGAGATCCTCTTCTCCGTGGAAAGTTTTACAAATTCGAAGATGTTCTGGGGGCGGGCATGCTTCGGTACGATCGGAAATCCTATGTAGACCGTCTCTTGAAGAGACCGATCCGGGACTGCACGCAGGCGGAGCTGAGGAGCGATCGGTGGGAAATGGTGAAATATCTCCCCATCGTGCATCCACCGATCCTACTCGAGCCTCCCTTGCTGAACAATTATGCGAGCAGTTATATCAGAACGGGGATCGGACTCAAGGAAGTGCAGCAACGTCTTTTTCTCACAGTACGTCAGCGCTCGTACGCACCAACACATGAACCACCCGGAGCAAGTAAGAGTGGCATACCTTCAGAAAGCATACGTTTGGACGCAAGAATTTCAGCTCGTCTCAGATGCGGTAGCAATCATTCGAGAGACGCGAGGAGTCTACTAAAGGACGTCGATCCTTGGGACTTTGAATGGGGCTGGCGATATTGCCAGAGGGGCAGGCACGTCCGTGTCTTCGACCGGTGAATAAGTCGTAGGGATCAAATATGTCTTGACGACAGCAGGAAGCACCCCACCGACGATCGGCCCTGCTATGAACACCCAAATGTGCTTCCAAGCCTCCTTCGGCGCCGTCCCGATGCAGCGATCACAGCACCCAAGCTGCGTGCCGGATTAACGCTACATCCGTCGATAGGGATCAGAGCAAGATGCGCCACTATAATCGCAGCGCCTACAGCCACATGTACCATGAGTCCCAGAACGTGTCGCCCGATGTCGTTCACAGGCAGAAGCCCTGTCACCTGCAGCACAAGTGTTACAAGGAGAGAGGTTGCAATTATTTCGGCTAAGAGAGCTTGCCACAGACCATATCCCGGCTGAACAAAGTTGACGGCCTGACTTGCGGCATAATGCTCATGATTCGAAACGGCCCGTGCAAGTAAAGCACCACACGTGGCTCCAACAACCTGTGCAACAATGTACACGACTCCCGTAAGTATGTCTACCGACCGTTGCACCATGAATGCAATAGTCACGGCTGGGTTGAGATGCGCGCCCGAAACATTTCCAAAGCAAAAGATCAGACCAGCTATGCTGGTCCCAAAGACTGTGGCTACTCCGATCGGTGCGGCTGCCGAACCATCGACTGAGCTTGGCCCATAATTCACAACGGTACACACTACTGGAAATAGAAAGTAAGCTGATCCCAAGCACTCTGCCCCAGCTGCATTGCAGAGCCTGAGCACCTTGTTGTTACGGCGGTCTGTGGAGGCCATGTGGTAAGTTCGTCCCAGAAAACATTTGGCTTCAAAAGTCCACGCTTATTACAGTTTTCGTCGAAAATGTCGCCTGAGATATGTAACGCTTGAAGATCTGAATGTGCGTTTAAAACCCCCTGAAAATTCTCAGAAGGTACTGTATGTTCTAATCATGAGCATCACTTGTTACCGACTGGAAGAGTGGCTAGTACTGTCCTAAGCGTGCCCCGTCAACATACGGTATGAGACCTCCATCAAAAGGCCCATCTTTGAGCTTCCCTGAAGCGCGATTGCACGCTGTGCAATGTACCAGCGTCGCTTGGATTTGGGCTGGAGGTCTATGGCATGGCATAGGAGTATCAGTACTTGTCCACAAAAAGGAACAGTATTCTTCAGTACCAGTTACTCTGGTCAGGCTCTGCCTACCAAGGACGCTGGGCGGCTGAGGGATAGCCAGTTAACTCTGTTATTATTGCTAATTATCGCCTTTTCTTGTGGCCCCCGTTACATAATAGGGGCGACAGTTTGGGCGAAAATGGTAATAAAAAAGGAGAGCCTATTGCAGATTCCATGGCCCTCCATTGGAAGTTCAAATGGAAATCGGAGGCGGATGAGAAGACACAATTGAAAGCCCGTTGCCTGGATCTGGAACGGAAGCTCGCGCATGCTCAGATGACATTGGCGGTCGCACAAGAACAGGTCGCGGTGTCTGTCGGTTCCAAAGACGAATTCACGAAGCGGGTCGCTCAGCACATCAGGGTGCCGATGCACGGTATCATCCAGGTCTGCTCGTCGATCATTCAGGACCACGGGGTACTCGCCAGCACGTGCTCCAAGGTCGAGATCGTCTGCCTGACGAGCACCCAGGTGCTGAGCACTTTGAACGAGCTCCTGCAGATCAGTTCCACAGAGAACAGCAGAATGTGCACGGAAAACGTCGCCTTCAACCCGCGGAAGCTGGTGGACGCGGTTCTCAAGCAGGTTGACCAGCAAGTCGAGAGCAAGAACGTACGAGTCGTCCAGCTGGTGGATGGGCGCACGCCCACCTCACTTGCTGGGGACATGTCCAGACTCCGGCAGGCTCTCGGGATCGTTCTCGAAGTGCTTCTGGATGCGGCACGGGACTCGGAGATGCTGGAAATCCGGGTGAAGCCGCTGCACGGCGACGATCCCCTCCTCGAGTCGATGATCTGCTCGAGCCGCTACATATCATGCCTCTACGAGCTGTGTCTGGCCCACCCAGCGGGAGAGGACAGTATCATGGTGAGGGTAGGGCGAGACCCTGACCGCGAAGACCCCCAGCTCATCGCCGTAGCCGGCAGGTTGGAGCTGATGGGCTGGCGGTTGATGCGCTCGGTCGACAGCAGGGCTTTTCAGATTATCGTCCACGTCAAGCGCGCTCTAGAGGGGAGCGGGGCCAGCCAGCGGTATAGCCTAAGTCGCGACGTGCTCCTCAAGGAACGCAAGCTGACCATCTTGCTCATGGAGGAGAATCCGATTTTCCGAAGCACGATCTGCCAGCAGCTTGGGCAGGAAGGGCACACCGTGGACGTCGTGCGCAACGAATCGGAGGTATGCAAGCTCGCTGAGGACGGTACGATACATTTGAACAGAGTACGGCTGCGTGCTGATCGACACTACCAGCGGGGCCAAGGACCTCCTCGACTGCATAAGGCAACGCGAAGACTGATGCGATGCAACAAGATGCCAGTGGTCCTGATGGTGGGTCACGGTTTCGAAGATTGGGAAGTGCGTTACAAGGAAGCGGGAATCGACACGTACCTCCTCAAGCCGTGCACGAGCGAAGTCCTCAAATCTCGCATAGGAGACGCCATCAGCGCCGCGACAGCCCTCGTCGACATCGAAGAATTGTCGGAGCAGAGTCTCTCGAACGAGAGCGTTCTGTCTCAGTCTGAGCTTCCACTGAAGCAGTAGCGCTCAATAGCGTTCTTAAAGAGTCCAAAATTAGTAGGGGCCCTGGCGACGTCGTCGACGACCTCGAAATCATCCTTGTCGGACATGAAAAAGGGGTAATTGAGAAGGTCTTGGATACAAGGGCGTTCGCTCTCGGGTTTGATGCAGTCGAGGATGAGGGACTTGAGATGCTTGTGCTTCACAAAGAGGAGTTCGTCGGGGGGCGTGAAATTCAGGATCTCCATGTAGAGTTGGCTGACCGTGCGAAAGCGCGTGTACGGCTTTCGGAGCGTGTACATCTTCAGCAAGGCCCTTCCAAAGGAATAGACGTCGGCCTTGTGGGTATACTTACCCTGAAGGCACTCGGGGCTCATGTATTCCGCCGTTCCCAGGACAGACAACGTTGTCCGTGACGAGCTCAGCACGGAGGCAAATTCTAGATCGCCCAATGCCACGTCGCCCGTGTAGTTGTTGACAAAGACGTTCGCACACTTCAGATCTCGGTGCGCAATGGGCATCGGCCTGTCGTGCAAGAAGCACAGGGCGTCGATGAGCTGCCGTCCCCACTTTCGGATGACGCTGATCTCCTGCTTGCCGTGCTTGCGGACGTACGCGTCGAGAGGAGAGCCATAGAGGTCGGTGATGATGATGAGATCCCGGCTGTTATCCACCCACGAACTCACCATCCGCACGATGTGGGGATGCGAAATCTCGGAAAGCATCTGCACCTCACGGACAGCCCTCGAATTGGCTCCATAGCCAACCACCGCAGCGGGAACCTTGCACCACGCTACCTCGCAACCCTCCTGCCGGTCGAAGCCCTTGTACACCGTTTTCGAAGACCCGAAACCTATCGTCTCGTTGCTGCAAACGAACCGGCCCGTCAAGTCCTTCTTCAAGGCCTCCTGCATGGTCGCTCGCTACGGTGTTCCAGGAAAACTTGCGTGCGTCAAATACTCTCGTAAATATACGTATTCCTACCTAGGGTAGAGATGCTGGCAGCGCTAGATGTGTTCTCCGGGATAGGCGGGTTTGCGAGAGCTCTGCAGGGGATCGCGACGATCAAAAGGTTCTGCGACATCGACTCAGCTGCACGGGCGTGCTTGCAGAAGAACATGGACAAAGGACTTTTAGAGAAGGCCGAGATCGAGACCGACATTCGACACTTGAAGGGGTCAAAAGATATCGACCTGATTGCTGCGGGCATTCCGTGCCTCGGATTCTCGCCACTGGGCCTTGAGCAAGGGAGGCTTCGAGCACGTCCGGACGAAGGTATTCTACGAGCTCCTCAGGGTGATCGACGAGTGCGAACCGAAGCTTCTCTTCCTGGAAAACGTACCGAATATAGTCCTGCATGGCATGCACACGGTGGTCGACGAACTGCATGACAGACGGGGGTACGATCTCTCGTGGGTCGTTTTGCCCGCCTACGCAGTGGGCGCTCACCACACAGGCCTACGGTGGTTCTGTCTCGCGAGGAAGCCCGGCCTCGACCTGAGTTGGGAAGGGTTGCGCTTCGTGCCACACCGTTTCGACACCGAGGACGCGCCACCCAGGGTGATCGGCCAGGAAGATCCGGGATGGGTAGAGAGGGCGAAGAGGTGCTTTCTCTTGGGGAACAGCATCGTGCCTTGCGTGGCCCGCCTTGCCTTCTTCCTGCTGGCCAGTGGCTTCAGGCAGGGTGATATATCCGCTCCCACACTGGTCATGGGTGAGCCGAATCCAGCCCTGTGCACGGTCGTCGACGAAACTCACCCCGGTTTCTACTTTCCAAAGTGGGGAGGGGTCGACTCGTGCAGTGTTTACAGCATCCCGATTATGCACTTCAAGCGGCCAGAGTTGCAGCTTCGGCTGCTCCAGAAACCCAAGCTCGAAGTCCTACTCACTGACAAGGTTACCTCCCCGGTCATCTATTCTCGATTCATGCGACTGTGGAGCACCCCGAGGTCGGGCTGGATGCGTGGGCTCCAGCCGCGTCCTAACCGACAGAAGTAGTCGTGACCTCCCGAACCAGGTGAAGTTTGAGGTAGGCACCCCAGACACAATTAGACATGGGCAGCTGAATCCCGATTCCAAGGGTTGAGATTGTACTGATGGGGTATCCCAAAGGATATACGTGCTTCAAGTAGGTTATTGCGTGGGCCTCGGGTGCGGCGAGAGGACTGCAATTCTTCTCCTCGCAATAGATCAATGGAGGCAGTCTCCACATCCATCAACAAAGCCAAGAGGGTGTTGCAGGTCAACATCGCTCCCCGATGCATCAAAGAAACCGGGCCCACCAGCTTTGCGGCAAAGCTTCGGAACGTTGCAGACGAGGCAAAGAGCTCGAAGTCGGCTGGTAAGGTCGACAGGGTGGTAGTCATAGTGGACGGCACGGGCGCGAGCGAGTGCGGGTCGGCTGCACTGAAGGCTCTCGGCCAGCTGTTCAGCCTCGAGGACTGCAGCCTCTTGGACGTGGTCAGTACGATCCTCCTGATCAACGCGGACGAGACGTTGAAGGCTGCCTGAGCGATCGCCAAGCTGGTCGAGCCGGCCAAGAAGTACGCCTCGCTCGGTCGGGTGCTCGAATGAGCCTATACTCGAGTGAGCCTACCAGAAGGGCATCAAAGTCCAGAAGAATGATGGTGCTGTAGAGATCTCCTCTGTTTCGTCCCAGTTGAAGCTGGGTGACTGAAGCGACTCGACGAGTTCAAAAATGGCGTCCTCCTCCGTCCAATCCATTGGCAGACCCCGGTCGTCATACACTCGACCGTCCGGTGGTGCAGTGGATGTGGAGGAGATCTCCCGTTCGCTCGGGACAGCCCTGCATATTGGGCAATCTCGTTTCTTTTTCAGCCACTCTAGGATGCACGACCGGCAGAAGGCGTGCGAACAGCCCAGCATGAAGCGGTCCGGGACCTGAATCGCCACGAAGCATATGGGGCAGGTCTCTTCCTCGGGACCAGCCTCGGCGATCACGGGCTCGTTCGGCCTGTGATGTCTGCAATAGGTAAAGCCTCCTGCATGGTTTCGGCATGCTGTTCCTTGTTTCGTGAGGCCCTTGCATAGCATCTTTCATTATGTTTGTACGAGCAATTTTTGTGGCAGACATCTCTCGCACGAGATGTCTCGCAGCTCACTTTTTTTGTGGTCTTATCTCAGATCGAGATGACGTTGCCCGGCATGAGTGACAGCAGGAGTTTTGGATTGTCACCCTTCCTGCCTCCCAGCGAGACGAATTGGAGGATCATGCGTGCATTTCAAGCAGGAGACGGAGCAATCTATCGAGAGCACATCAACCGCGATGGCTATGTCATCATCGAGTGGTCGAGATTCGAAAACATTTCCAACCGGGACACCCTCTCCCAATGTATCGCAAAGGATGCCGGACCCTTCCTGCGCCCCTTCATGTCGTAAGCGTGGCACTTTTGACGACCGGCGGCCAGCGCCGGCCATCCGTTAGTCTTGCGCTGCCAGCTTAACATTGGTACTTAAGGGTAAGAGTCGACAGAAACGTCATAACCATAACCACGATGGCGAGCTGCAAGGACTGCGACGGCGGGCTAGCGGTGGACGTGCAGAGCGGCGAGCTGGCGTGCACGGAGTGCGGACTCGTACAGAGTGCGAAGCTGACGGTGGTGGAGTGCGGTCACCGCGACTTCTTCCACGAGGGAGGGCCCCTGGATGAACAGAGCGCCGCCGTGTCCTGGCTCTCCAGTGCGAGTGGGAACCTACCAGCGCTCTGCCAGCAGACGACCTCGACTGCACTCGACCGGGATCCCAGGGTCGGGCCGGAGCGCCGCAAGGCCGGAAGGAAGGTGTTAGAGGAGTTTGCACACGTCGAGAGAGTGGTCGAGCTCCTGGGCCTTCCGTCAGTCGTGGCGAGCACGGCGCATTCGTATCTGACCACGTGCCTTTCGAAAAGGTTCGAGCGGGGCAACACAAGACAGGGGACGGTGATTGCATGCATCTTTCATGCCTGCCGTTCGCACGGTGCCCCCCGCACTGCTCGCGAGCTCTCCGCAGTGTCCGGAGTGCCCTCGAGCAACATCAAGCAGGCCTGCAAACGAACGTCCCTCTTCGTGGCGTCCCACTCTTCAACCGAAGGCCCAAAGGACATGAGGCCAGAGGACCTTCTCGCACGCTGCTGTGCTGCGATCATGGACCGGAAGGATCAGAAAGAGGCCAGGAAGCTTCTCCTGGCCTGCAGACAGCGGTGCGCGGTCAGAGAGCGCCTGACTGTGCTTCAGGGCAAAACACCATCGACCGTAGCAGCCGTCATCATCTGGAAGGTGGCTCAGGAGCAGAGGCTTAGTGTCAGCAGGAAAGAGATAAGCATGGGCTGTGGCATAACCGTAGGAACCTTGGTGAAGGCAGAGCATGACTATGATGGGCAGGCAAAAGAGGTGAAGAGTTCACTGACGCTCGACCTCAATCTGTGACACGGTCATTGAAAATAAAATGCACATGTTACATTACATCGTCGCGCATGGATAACCACCAAATACTGTTGCTCGCGGCAGGATGCGTTCTGCTCTACTTCATATGGTCGAATTGCTCAGAGGGATTCATTGATGAAGGCTTTAGATCAGCAAAGAGGGAGGTGAAACAGGCAGCAGGGGATGTCGAGCGTGTTGCCGGCAAGGCGGCCAGAGGGGTCGGTAAGGCAGGCAAAAGGGGCGCTAAAGGGGTAGGCAAGGTGGCCGGCAAGGTGGTGGGAGGGCATAAAAAGCGGGGTGACATGACCGGATTGACATTCGTGTGTAAGGCTGTGGACTTTGGTAACATGGGAGGAGGGATGCGCGCGGGTGCGATGATTGGGCCGATGGCCCCCGGGCAGAAAGGCAAGGGAGGCGCAGGTAAAAATCGTAAAGGGCCCCGAAATAACCCGACTAAGGGGATGGTAGCCGAGCGAGGCTTAAAGCCTTCTAAGCGAAGGGGTACGCGTTAAAGCGTTCCATTTCCTCTCACGATGGCCCTGAATAAGTCCTTTCAAATCCAACTGCTCAGGTCCTTGCAGTGGCCGGTACTACAGAAGCCGTATCTAATGGTACCCTCCTTATACACGACATTGACGACTGGCACGTGAATGTCGCTATCGATTGCCCCATGCACGTACGTGGCCTTGGGTGTTGTCTGGATGCGAACCTCCGTCGTCTCGACCGGGAAGAGCTCCCGCCCCTTGTACATAATTGCCATCGTGGCCTTTCCCTCGAAATCCGGGAAGCCTTCGGCGGTCAGCTCGGCAAGAACACCGCCCTTGATCAGCGTGTGCCCCTCCTCCGACGCCTGCTCTGGCTTGCCAAAAGGGAGCAGGGTGAGGCTTGCCTCTCCGAAGCAGAAGCGGATCTCGAGACCCCGGGCAGCCTCGTCTGCTAGAGCCGTCACGAAAGCCGGGAACGGCTGGCCATAGTGGAGAGGCAGAAAAGCGATGTCCACGAACGCGTCGTGAGCGGGGCGGTCGAAGTCAGCCAGTGCATTGCAGGCCGTGTGAAGCTCCCTCGCGATGCGTTCGAAGGAACGCCACACCTCAGCCAGCTTAGTCGCCCGACGCACGAGGTTGTCTCCGGTGTGCATACTATCCCCCAGCGGGCTGTCTCCATAGATCTCCTCGGCGCAGTAACCCAGGTTGTAGAGGTCTTGCACCTTGTCTACAAACTTGGTCCTTGTCTCGGATGCTGCCACAGTATGGGTGGCCGCAAGAACGCGCACCCATCCGTATACCTGTGCCACGTCTGCCATCAGGCTGGCAATCTCGTCACTATCATGAGCTTCCCTGAGCTTGGAGACTCGCCGCAGCGCCCAGGAAAAGTAGCGGAGGGCGTTCCCGAGGTCGCCAGCATGATCACCTTTGCTGCCCAGCCGTTCAAAGCAGCTGTCCATTTCCAGGTCGAATGAAGCCGCCCCGCGGAGCAGCTCGAGAACTCGCATGGCTGCCATTCCTCGGTCGAAGGATGTCGGTTTGGGAGGTTTCTGAGAATGAAGCATTTTGAAATGGACCCTGTCAAAGGGCTCACCTCACATGCGCCATCCTCTGCCACACCCCAGCAGCAAAGCTTGCCACCTCACAAAGAGCAGCAAGAGTCTAGCAGGACATTCGTTGCCAAGGCATGCAAGAGGGCGCCACCCATGATTGGCTTAGGGGCTGCGGTGAGGGTTCATTTACAAAGTCCGATGCAAGCGCCCGACTTCCTCCTGGAGCCGCTCCTCCCCGGCGACATCTACCAAACAGGACGCAGCCAGATCAGGATCTGCAGGGCAGCGGGAGGGTTTTTCACGCTCGATCGGGAGAGTGTTCGGGCGGAGACGTATGGAGGACTACGACATGCCGCAGAACCAGGAGGGGAGGGACGTGGGAACGACGGAGACTGTCTACGGGGAGTGGACGAGGAAGTTGCACGGCTGGAGGCGCAACCAGCCACTACCAGAGTACGCAGGTCTGCTAGACAAGATGACAGAGTACTTCAAGCGCCACGCGTTCGCTCCAAACAACGAGCTGGAGGTGCGGCTGGGAAAAGTGCACGAGAAACCAAGGCGCTTCGAACCGGGGGTGTCCGCGAACATGTTTCACAAGATCCTGGAGGGCCTCCGGAGCTATCAATCCTGGGAGGACGAGACGGTGACGAGACACACTGACTACCTCACCGGCGAGAGGCGGCTGCGTGTTTACGAGGACCCGGGGATGCCACCTGAGCTAGTCGCCAAACGGTCTCTGGTCTCCTTGGATGTCGTCTCGATGGGGTCTCCGTTCGATTTCCGCTTCTCAATCGCAAAAGAGAAGGTCGTAGAGGCGACGGAGCAGGACATAACCAGCATCACGGCAAACGCCAAGCATATCCGGCACAAGGAGCGCATGACCTTCGCCTACAAGGCATGGCTCTTTGACCTGACCATAGTGCGAAGCCAGAGTGGGGCCTCTTCGGTGCCGACAGACGACTGCTTCGACGACACGTCCGAGGAGAGGAACGGAGGGCGGGTCTACGAGGTGGAGATCGAGCTCCGAAATCTCGCGACCAAGGTCAAAAAGACGGCTTTCAACGCGATGAGGCTCGCAGACTCCACCCTGATAAAGCTCTTTGATCTGATGAACTTTGTCGAAGAGGTGGATGTGGAAAAGCTCTCATTCCAACCTAGCTGAAAGTAAATCAGGCAAATAGCAGGGGTCTATGTCTGCCAGCTGCCGGATCATAGATACCAGCCCGACCGGAAAGTATGTCAGGTATGCAGAGGTCATCGGCAGGGGCTCCTACAAAATCGTTCATAGAGGCTTCGACAGAGAAAGAGGGATCGAGGTCGCATGGAGCAAGATTGTACTGAGCAAATTAGAGGTGAATGACGATTTCCACGACCAGATTCAACGGGAGGTAGATCTCCTCAAAATCATTCGTTGCACCAGTGTGGTTGAGCTCTTTGACGCATGGTTCGATCCTGAACGAAACGAGTTCCATATCGCGACAGAGCTCTTTCTGAGTGGGAGCCTAAAGGACTATCTCAAACGCCACGGACACATTGCATTGCCTGTGGTCAAGAGATGGACGCGAGACCTTCTGGAGGGCCTCGTCTACCTACATGAGCAAGAACCACCAATCGTCCATAGGGATGTCAAGTGCGACAATATTTTCATCAGAGGGGACGTTGGGCAGGTCAAGTTGGGCGACCTTGGCCTGTCCACCCTCAAGAACAGGTCTTCGATGAGCAGTGTCGTCGGGACGCCAGAGTTCATGGCTGAAGAGATGTTTAACTCCGAGTACGACAAGAGAGTTGATTGTTACTCCCTGGGGATGTGCGTGCTCGAGATGACGACCCTCGAATACCCGTTTGCAGAATGCAAGAATATTGCACAGGTCTACCGTAAAGTCATGGAACGAAAGCCCCCAGACTCCCTGCAGCGGATCAAGGAGCCAGAGTTGAAAACCTTCATAACGAGGTGCCTCGCCCGACGAAGCATCAGGCCCACCGCGAAAGAGCTCCTGAGCGACCCTCTGTTGAGCGATTGCAATGACCCCAGCCCTCTGCTCGCAGAGCACAAGGCGATCCTGATCAGAGTAGAGCCCATAGATACGACGGCACCAAAGATTCCGAGACTGCTATCCTGTTGCTTTTGAAGCTCAGAAGAAGAAGCTGTTGTTGTTCTTGCAAGTCAGTTCTCGCCCTGCAGTGGCTGCGGTGATGTAGGGATTGGAGTAGATGGCGGACTCACCGACTCCCCCCTCCGAAGGCCGCAGCTCCCTACCGTAAATCGAGTGCATGGGCTCTTGCCATTGACCACAGCTAGCAACGGGTATCGTCGTGGTATCATACATCGGTTGGAAATCTGGGCCGTATCGGCTCGGAGGCTCGAGGAAATGGGGCTGCCTCCGGGAATACTCCATCAGCCGGGGCGGACCCCCACCCGTCATCGGAGGGGGGCGGTAGCGCTTGGCGGCATGCCTCCTCTGCAACTCGACATGAAGTGCCTCGGTCGACACCCCGTCGCAATAGCGGGTGATTCCATCTTTGTACATCAGAACCGTCAGCGTGAGCATGTGCATAAAGAGCAGAGAAACTATCAGAATCACGGTGGACCAAGAGATATCGTTCATCATCCTGCCCCTATATGACACTCATGTGTATAATTTTTTCAACGCTCGACCACCTGAAAGGTGGGGAGCTCGGTCGCTCTCTCGTCCATCTTATCCTCGATCAGCTCCAAAAACGAGCGCTTTCCTACTCGCGACCGCTCCTTCTTGGCGTTGTCTTCCTCCCACGCCGGAGTGCGCCCCTGACTGTTTAGGACGGTTGGGCTCTCCGTGACGGCCCCGATGACGAAAGCAAACGCTTGGGCGATGTCTTCCATCCGCTTCGCACCCGTTACGATGACGCTCTCGCTCTTGAAAGCCAGGACGGTGGCGCTAGCGAACTTGATGTTGCAGCCGGGGAAGTGGTCGGGTTCGTAGCGGCAATAGACGCCATATTTTCCCGTGATCGTGTCCCGGAGTGCCTCCAGGTTGATGGGAGTGTTGAGACGAAAGTCCGTGTTGATCATCTGAATCTTTGCTGACTGGACCTTGACCGGCCTTTCCACCTGCGTACAGTCCGGACGGAGGGCCCTGATCGTCCGGATGACTACCTTGAGCGTGCCAATTGCCTCTCCGGCACTTCTCGCACCAGTCAGGTGGAACTTTCCGTTGGCAAACACCTTGCAGTTCTTTCTGGTGGTGCCGACCTTGCCGGGCGTGTAGCGGAAAGACACCTGGTTGGTGAACTTTGCCTGCTTGGAGGCCGTGGCAATCAGGGAGATCGACCCGAGAGCGGGTTCCGCTGGGACCCGGTCCGTGACCAACGAGGCCTCTTGCAACATCTTGATGTCGATCTTGCAGTCCGTTTGGAAGATGACCGTCAGGGTAGATACGTCCGGGACGCTGGCAGGCGGGCCGTCGAGGCCCTTCCTCTGCAGGGTGCCGCTCATGGCTGCAGATGCGGCCCTGACGTCCCCCTTCCAAGACTCTATGAAGCTCTTGATCGCCGCCGACCTTGTGTCCAAGACGGGACCCTCCATTGCCTAACCCTCTCAGTCCTTAAGCCCCTTTTTTCAGAGAGTACTGAAAGAAGAATGAACACAGTTCACTGGCTCCTCGCCGGCGCCCTCCTCGCCCTCGCAATCCTTGCCCTGCACTCACTACAGATCTCTCCTGCTCGGTACTCGTTCACGTTTTACCACCTCCCCGGTTGCAAGTACTGCGAGGAGGCCATGCCTGCATGGAGGGAGCTGCAGAGGATCTACTGGGGCCCGGCCGTCCTCAGAAAGGTGAACGCAATGCGAGCAAAAGAGGAAGTGAACGGCCTGGGAATAGATGGCCTTTCCGCGTATGTTCTGTTCGACGGCAACACGGGATTCGCCTACAAGTACGAGGGGGCCAGGACAGCTCAAGCGTTTTCACGATTCTTGGCAGAGACGTTTACCGAAAAAAAGCGCAGGTAAAGTAGGATCATGGTCACGCTCTTGGAAGGTGCTGCAGTGGCTGGCTCTTCGCTTTTTCTCTATCTCGCCCTCAAGCCCGAGGTGGCAAAAAGCAGGACCGGCATGGCCTACATCAAGGGCCCCCACGCCCAAGAGTTCATGAACGTGGTGAATACAGACATCGACCGTTTGTTGGCTTGGCTGAAGAGTCACCCCGAACTGCTAGCGGATCCCAGGTGGAAAGGCTGGTCCAGAGGTACAAGACCAAGATGCAGCCGATCGCAGAAGGAGAGGGAGGGGCGGCTTACACTCGAAACAAGTCGGACGTGCGGCTGTGCGTCCCAGAGTCCCTCGAGGAACGAGACGTCCAGACCGGCCTCTTTGTCGCACTCCACGAGCTGGCTCACATAGCAAACGTGAGCTGGGGCCACGACCAAAGCTTCTGGGACACGTTCAGAGACCTTCTCAGACTGGCTGTGAAAGCGAGGATCTATAAGAAGCGCAACTATAAGCACGACCCAGCACGCTTCTGCGGTCAGGATATAATGAGCCAACCTCTGGACTGGAAAACTCCTTAAGTACCCTTAACGATCGCCAATGAGCGCCACACTGGTGCCAGCATGCGCCCCCTCCTGCCTCGGATGTACTATGCCAGCGGCCGTCTGATTGTTTGCTGTCTTTGATTGGTGATGTACAGGCAGACGTTTCCTTTGTTGGTGAGGACATAACTCTCGCTCCACAACAAGATGAAATTGTTCCCGTGGCGAGCGGCATCAGCTGTGGTGGCCGCATACCTGAGCACGTAGCTATCAGGAATCTTCTGCAATTCTTTCTCGTTTGCGTCAAGGAAGAATAGCCTGGCGACACTTCCATCGAGCCTCTCTAGCTTGATTTTCCAGCCATCGTTGAGATCGAAGATGCGAATCTTGTCCCGCCCGTAAGAGAATAGTTCGTCACGGTGCAACGCCATAGACGTATCTGTCATCTCGAGGCCTTATTGTATTTGGCAGAATCGGTGGATAAACTAGACGCGGTCGTTCATGGCAACATCAGTGGCACTGGCAAAGTCCGGGGTGGGCAATTGCGGACGATGGTGCTCGTTTTCGAGCTTAGGGAGATTGCATATGAAGAGAAGCAAGCACATGGCAGTAGCATCCATCGGCATGCACATGAACCCACGAGTCGTACGGCTTCTCGAGCGACAGAGATACAAGACCCCTTACCAGCAGCACCTCGCAAATTTTGCACCAGGGGGGCGTGGACTGACACCTCGCCCGGTCCCAAACATAGAGGCAGCCCGTCACGGTCTGCTCTACGAGAAGGAGGCAATACAGAGGTTCCAGGAAATCACGGGCATCCGGGTTCTTGATGTCGGCCATGTGGTCCACGAGCGCTTTGACTGGCTCTCTTGTGTCCCAGACGGGATAACCGTCGATGGAAGGGTGGCCGAGATAAAGTGCCCTTACTACCGGCGGATCGTTCCAGGGGTCCCCAATCACTGCGTAAAACAACTGCAGATTGCAATGGAGGTCACCGACCTCGACGAGGCCATCCTCGTGCAGTACAAACCCGCAAGCGTCTTCGGAGTGGAAGAGATCATGATATCGACCCTGGCCCGAGATAGGACCTGGATCCACAGGAACTGGTCTCGACTGCACAAGAAAGGGCAGTGGCTGCAGCCTCCAGCCGCGGCCTGAGTTCGGTGACAATTTCGTGAACCCGATTAAAGAGCCATGGCATCCAATGCACCCTCGACCAAGAAGACCACAAGATGGAGCGACATGGTCGACCATGAGCCGGGGCCCATCGACCCCAAGATTCTAAAGGGACTACAGTATAGTTTCGGAAAGGCGCTGACGGAGGGGGAGTTCAAGGCGCAGCAAGCAAAGGGAGGAGCGAGAGTGGCCAGGAGCTTAGACCTACGAGACATCATGCGCACGGGCGGAGAGAAGTAGGTACGCAGGGGCTTACGGCCAACGGTGTTTTTCTGGCAGTCTACTTCCATCAATGGTTGGAGTTGGAGAGCCGCCACTCCGATCCTTTGCGAGGCAGCAGTTTTCACAGCTATTCGAACAGCCCCCAGACTCCGGGATGGTCATCAATGCTGAGGTCGGTGTCTACAACACGGCCGTAAAGGGCTGTGGCAACTTGTTCGGAGCCGGCTCGTGCACCTGGACCAATCCGAGATTCAAGAGCAAGTACAAGGAGAAGCTCCGGTCATTGTTGTTCAACCTTCGGAACCCGAAGAACCCGGCCTTCCTCGACAAGGTGAAAGCAAAGGAGATCGGATGCAGGCACCTCGCGTCTTTGTCCCCAGAAGACATGTTCCCCGAAAATTGGACCTCGCTTAAAGCAAAACTAGCAAAAAAGCACGTCTTCTCGGCGGACCTCTTGGATAATGTTCCCGACAATCCAGTGCACGTCTGCAGCCACTGCAACTCTAGGAAGATCACCACGTACGAACTGCAGACGTTAGCCGCCGACCAGTCGACCACGACTTACATGATGTGCCAGTCCTGCTCCCACTGCTGGAAGATATTTTAAGAATTGATCTTGTTGATGACATTCGCATGGTCGACAGATGCATTGGCGTGAGCCTTTAGGGCGTGATTCGTCACCATGTTAACTATTTTGGGAGGGGCACCCGCGTTCCCCGCATTGAGCGCGGCTTCGTGAGAGAGTCTCGCCGCATTCTGACTGGCCTCCAGAGTAGCAATGGTCGCTTCAAGGACCGCCTGCTCGTGGTCCCCATTATCGAGAGCATTCTTTGCAATCATGTGCATGTTGTCGGCGGCATGCATCTCATCGATCGCACCTGTCGCTTTGCCCAAGGCCTGAGATGCAGAATCGTGATCCTGAGGCGTCTGAGCGGCCTTGTTCCCCATGCCAGCAATCTCCAACGCATGCTTTGCACTCTTGCGAGCGCTCTGAACGGCCTTGGCAGCAGTCACAGGGAGGATAGACGGTTTGCCCGGTAACGGGCAAGAGGCCGGGCAACGCGTTCCCCGGCCTCCTGCCCGGTCATGGGCCGGTGACCGGGGAGCGGACCGCTTTGCCCGGTGATCGGGCAGCCAGTCACCGGGCAAGCAGGCCGGGCAACGTGCACGGGTACGAGGCCGGGCAGGCGCGGCCGGATCCCGGGCAGCGACGCCGGGCAGGGGCTGCCGCATTTCCGGGCAGGGCGACTGATGAGCGGGCAGCACGACCGGGCAGCCTCTGTTGAAGACCGGGCAATAGACCGGGGCATGCTTTCGTATTTGCGGGCAAGTGGCCGGGCAAGGCGCTCGCATGTCCGGGCATTCATGCGGGGCAAGGGCGGGCAACAAACCGGGGAAGGCATCATACATGATCGGGCATAGAACATGCGGCACCGATTGATAGGTCGGGAAGAGCACGCCGGGGTAGATCTGTGAATGTAAGAGAAGAGCGCTTATAGTCGATTAACTTACTTTCGTGACACCTTCAAAGACTTGAGGTTCGTGTACTCAGCCGGCTAGAACTGATCACTATGTGCCTGCTGGTACACTGTGTCCAACGTTTCAATGAAAGTTGTGCTTGTTCCAACCTCAACTGTGCTAAGTTTGTATTGCCATGCGCTTCACAACCTTGTCACCTCCACCTGGCCTGCAGCTAACTTCTCACCATAATTTCGGCAGCTCGCACCTCAAAGCTGACGAGAGCTACTGCAACGTGCGTGACTCGAAGCCGCCTCAACCTGCATGAACTTGTAAAGTTGATTACTACAGTAGAAGTAAGCAAAGTCGAATGCTCGACAAATCGTTTCGCCCCGCGGCAGGCACGAATGAGGCCGGCACATCTCTTTGCACATCCAACTGCACATGTTATCCACTCCTTTCAGAAACACAGAAGGCACGAGTCAGTGTTATATCGAAGAGACACTCGTCGCTCTCATCTTGTCAGATGCAGTATTGTATGCCGCGAGCCTCCGTGGAGTGCCCTTCACTACTTCGGACAAGCTAGCCTTTCGGACACTTCGTGAATGGTCAATGTACCAACCTGATCAGAAGCGCATACGGATATCAGCCGGGTCCAGGCTGGTGCCGTCCTCACGCCACTTCCGGTTTTTGATGGTGACCTTCTTCTTTGCGATGAGCCCCTCGCTGAACAGCTTCAGGAGGTAGTTTTGGCTGAACTCTTTCAGCTTGGGAGACTTCGAGATGCCTAGCAGCTTCAGCTTGTCGATCCCCTTGCGCAGCGCTTTGGAGGTGAGCTGCTAATAGGAGAAAATTCTACTCTAGATTTGACAATTAGTTGTCGTTCCACTCCGAAATTTGTGCTTCTCGTTGGACCGCTCGGGGGACGCAGATGCCAGAACAGATTGCGATCTTGCGTTTTACGTACAACACCGTTCAGCTACCGTTCAATTGTGCGCAAAAGAGATTGCAAGGGCACTTCACAGTTTTACTCGAATTTCTGAACCTCAAATTTTACCTCCGGCTACTCTCTAATGCAGTCTCACCGTCGATCAAAGCTTTTTGCTATGCCTGGCAGTTGAACTTAGAGTTTCTGTTTACCACAAAGCCCACTCGGTCATACGCAAGGCGAATCTGAATCACTCGACCACTGAAATTTGCGGTTCTTCGGATCCTTCACCCGAACCCTGTCAAGGAAACAGTTTTGGCCGTTTCGGATGGGCAATCAGAAATATACCTTATATGACGCGTGGATGTCCAGGGCGGTCATGGCTATTAGTTTATTTTGTCGACGATTGAAGGATGCAGTTTCTCGTCCTTGTCCTCGAAAGCGCCTCCGATCGGCAGATCTGACGGCGACTCCGCGTCGGAGTCCTCCTCTTCTGACGTCTCAATCGCGGAGCCCGAAAGGCTCATCGACTCCTCGCTCTCATCCGAGGGTGGCGCATTGGGCTTCTTGGTGGCTCCGATTTTGACTTTCTCACGGGACTTCTGTCCGGATTCGGTTCCCGCCGCTGCCCGCTGCTTGGAATTAACCACGAAGCTGTCGTTGTGAATCAGCCGGTTCACCTTAGGCGCGCGGTTCGACTGCCGTACAACTTGGATTTCCTCAACCGGCTCACTGGGTGGTGCTTTTAATGTTTTCGGGCCGGGAACTTCTGACTCAGCCGGCTCGTTCGGCTTTTCGTTGGTAGGGGAAATTCCTTCCGGGCGAATCTTCTTCTTCTTGTCCTGCTCGACCGTCTGACTTCCCTTTCGCTTCCGGGCCCCGTTCTTCGTTTTGTCCGGCTTCTCTTTAGCCTCACCAGCCTTAGTCTCGCGCCCCTCTGAGTCTTCCCCCTCGCCGGTCTTCTCGCGCTCATCGGAACCTTTTCCGGCATCCGGCGCATCAGAGCCCCGGGGAGGGGAGCGCACGGATTCTGACGGGACCGATACTGGGGGACCCGCCGGCTGCGATGCCGCACTGATCAGCCCCTCCGCGCGGATTTTCGCTGACGCCTGGGTGTGGAAGATCAATTGGTGATGGCCACTGGTTGCCTGCGAAGAATGGCTTAAAGCGATTACGAAACATGTTTTGCTTTCGGTCAAGATGTCAATCCAGTAGCGAGTTGTCTTCGAGATGAGAGTCAAAACCGCGCTCCAAAAGGAACCGCCGAAACACGAACGCCGATCTTTGGCAGGCAGAACTTCTGGCCGAAAGAGAAGTGGAAAAAAGGGACACGAAAGCGGTGGGGAAATGGCGCAGTTCGACAGCCGCCCACGCGGCGCGCACGAGCGCCCTCATTTCAAAAGCAGCGATCGATGTCGCAGAGTCGTAACACCAGTGTCGGGCAAAAACTTGCGACTGAAAATAGAAAGAGAGTAAAGGGCCAAAGCTCAGAAGCGAAAGAAACATGGCGCGCTTTGACAGCCGCATGCGCGGATCGACCGCGTGAACCGAGCGCGCGCGCGCCCGTTGTGCGTGCACGCGCGCACACCGATCCAACTTCAGGTGGCCATAAAGAAGCGGATTACCGATGTTTGGCAAGGCCGGGCAACTTGGAATGAGGAAAAGAAAAGAAAGGATCGTTATGATTACTTGCAAGCGCAGGATCCGACGGCTCAAACAAACAGCCGCGCGCGCGCGCGCGCAACATGCGTGCGCGCTCGGCCTCATTAAATTTTCAGTCAGCCAGTCTGAAAGCGGCGAATCACCGTTTGGCAGAAGCTCGCAACTATTAAAGACGCGCAAGGTCTACAAAATTGGAAGGAACGTGCCACAGAAGCGGCAAATCGATGGCACGTATGAACAATTGCCCGCGCGGCGCGCGGCGCGCGTGCGCAGGCATCTCAAACTTCAGCCGAACGAAAGTGAA